CAAAGTGGACGATCCGGGTGTCGTTCTATTAGAGGTTTTACGGTATACGCACAGTGATATTAATTATCTAGGTTACTGAGATTAATTATCGCTCGCCCAGCCCTGTAAGAGACAGGGCTGGGCGAGCGATCGGCTTTCGTGGGAAACGAAATGCAAAACACACGCATTTCGCGAAAAAAGTGGGCGGAGCCTCGGCACACACAAAGTATAGTAGACGGCGGAACCCGGGAGGTGTCGGCCGTTGCGTAGAATGACTACCCATCAGCGCGCATTAAAGAAAATTTTCTTTCGTGTCGAGACCCATCGACATAATTGCATGTTCCTTTAATCTCGTTTTGCACAAGAAGCGAGAAAATCTTGCAAAACGTCAAGGTTTTTCTCCCATCCTAACCCACCCCTGGTAAGAGATAACAAAAATTTGTCGACTAATAAAATGCTGGTGATAATATGATGAGCATTTTATTAATTGACAAGTTTTTGATATCTTTCACAGAAATCGAGATAATTGAACTCGAAATGCACGAAAATAAATCAAATTTGAACTTTTTCAGTAGAGTACGCTTTTCTGCGTCTATCTGAAAGTTTAAAGGCGCATAACTTGCTTCAATTTTGAGATATAGAAATGAAAAAAATAGATGGTTTTGTAGAACATTTTAGCTTTCGATTGATATAAAATTGTCAGAGGAAAAATATAATTTTGGAGCTGAAAAATCCAAAAAATTGCCGAAAATGCCAAAAATTAGCACTTTTAGGTCACTTTAAGAAGAAGCGCCTATCTCGTTTGAATGAAATTTTACAAAAAAGTTGTCAACTACGAAATCAAAGTTCGATTTTTGTATTTTTGTTTAGTATATTCTGAAATTTTCAGACAAATAGGAAAAATATGAACTACTTTTTTTTCCTCTGAAAAAGTCAAAAAAAAATTTCAAAATCCGAAATTCCAAAAATTAAAACTCACAGTTTTATAATCATAATCCACTGGTGTCGCATGTTTGGCTGGATTGTCGTTATTATACGACATCGTTAGCTTTTTGGCAACTTTCATATTGTATTCGTAGACACCATTCTGAAAAAAAAGTTAATTCTTTTACAAAAAAGTTTTTTTTTCTGTTTCAAAAAAAAAACAATTAAATTTGGTGATGAAGTCAGAAAAATAATTTTTTGTTTAAAGGTTTTCTAAATTTAACCAATTTTTTGATTCAATTTTCAATTTTTAATTTTGAAAAGAGTAATAAAGTTTGCTAAGACCTTGCCTACAGTAGGCACACTTTGAGCTCAATTATCTCGGTTAGTGTAGGAGATATCAAAAATTTGTTAACTAATAAAATGTTTATCAAGTTATCAGTAATATTTTACTGGTTGAAAACTTTTTGCTATCTCTTACAGTAACCGAGATAATTCGGCTTAACGGGCAAGTATAGTTTTCGATCGGTTCAATGGAAAAAAGTATTCTGTAATTCTCTGAAAAATAAATTCTGAAACGGAAATTTTTTTCTTAATTTTTTGGAATTTTTTGGGATTTATTTTTTGGAAACCAAAAAAAAACCATCAACAAACATTTTAGCGATAGAGCGTGTTTGCTTCTTTTCAAATTCAAGTCCCCTTAAAAATTCCAAAAATTGAATTTTTTAATGGAAAATTAGCCAATTTTGAAGTCTGAGAAAACTACTTCAGAATCTTCCACTTTGCCTGAAAATTTTAGTGTATACTAAACAAAAATAGAGCTTTACTTTTTTAATTAACAACTTTTTTGTAGCTATTTTGGTTTTTGAGATAC